TTTCAAGAAAATCCACCTCAAAGGTTCAAGAAACAAATTCTTCTCATATTTTGATCCAATGATCTCATCTTTCTCAAGAATTTGGAGAGTATAACGTATGTAAGGCTCTTCATAGAGTTGGATTGAATTCGTCCCCACACCCTACATCTCAATTCAGTCAGTAAAAGTTTGATCTAGGGATATACCCTTAGTTTCGAGAATTCTTGATATGGTTTAAGTTATTGATTTTGAGCTCTAAATTCTTGATTTGAGTTAAGTTATTGATTATGAGTCCTAAATTCTTAAATTTTGAGTATTCTTGAGATAAGTAGTATCGTTAAATTTTGAGTTTTTGATTTCTGAGTATTGAAGTTTTTCTATATTGTTATTGAGATCCTTGAGTTGATTTGTTCATGTCTGTATTTCAATATGATCCCTATTTTGAGTTATAATTTTTGGGAATCTTTTAAAGCAAACATTTATGGCCTTAAACTAATTTTCTAAGAAAGCAAAGATGAGTTTTGAGAAGAGTTCTATAAATGATTAAGAAATAGTATAAGGGAACTAAATATTCCTAAATGTTTCGTTTTTACATTGAGAAAAGATAAACTTTAATTTCTAAAAAGAGTTTATGAGTTTAGAGATATTTCAAAGAAGTTGCCTCTTTTAAGAGGTTATTTTTAGTAATTACCTCAAAACAGAGAAAGGGTATGTTTTATACATTTGAGCATGAGTAAATTATTAGGAGTAATATTGAGCACTGAACTCAAAATCTTCATAAACCATATCTTCCAATATGGATAAAGATCATACCTTTTGGATGAATCCTTATTGCTCATGGATCTACTTAGTTGAGAGGTTCTATACCCCGACACAGTATAGAACAATTCTAACAGCATGGGAAAGACGATGTATCATTACATAGCTCATAGCGATTGTTGTCGGTTAGAGAATATCCCAAATAGAGTTAAAAGTGTATTTTTATTGTATCACTTAATATGTTATGTTTGGAGAAGAGTAAGTATTTATAAAGTTTAAATGATTTCACTCCTTTATTTCTTCACATTCAGTTGGGTACATATTTATATCTATTGCAGTCCTTTCTGTTCAATTATTTGTTATTCAGCTATCTTACATACTAATATATTCAATGTACTGATGTCATTCTGTAACGACCTGAGACTAGGCCCCGGATGAGACACGGCGTACTTGACCCCGAAGGGATCTCGTACAAGCGTCTTAGTATTCATAACATTCGATATATAGAAAGAGTGAGGAATTTAAAATTTATTTAAATCCAACTATCAAAAACTTCATTCAAAATCATTCAAAAGACATAACGGAAGTCTAAGTCTCACATGGCAATCTTAACAATGTACTTGAAACTAAAGTAGCGACACGGCCCTATACAATCAAAGGAACTAGAATTGTCTATTACATGAAAAAAGAAATAAACTTCAAAAGACACTTGTCCTCGATCTATGAGGACATACCACTCTAGCCTTGGAGGAATAGTAATCCAAGCACTTCAATCCTAGCTAGAATCAATCACTTGCCGGAACCTACACTTGTAGTAAAATAAGAGAAATATAGGTTAGCTCACAAAAATGTATTAAGTATGATGACCATGCAAAAACATGCTTTAAAAGGTACATTTTGGTTGGAAACCATGCATTATGCCACTTTTTAGAAATATCATGTACAATAGCATAAGAGGCATGCAATACAAGTATAATCATCATACAAGTCATCATACCACAATTCGACATTATCATCATGTAAACCATTACCTTCACCTTAGACCTTCACCTAAAGTAACCCTTATGCTATACCTTATGCAATGAATGGATAGCGTCCCATACCACCATCCACACCAAGGCACCACATTAAGGTCACCAAAAGTAAACTTATCATTCCTTCCTTTTCACCTTTAAACAATATACATACATAAGAGACATAACATTTCATAAGACATGACAAGGGGAAATAACTCATAATGAAACCCAAGTATAGCATGCATCATCACATTAAGCATTTAAGAGTCAACATTCTTCAATTCCTTCATTTAGAGGACCTTCATATATTAGTCATTAAGACTTAGAAAACTCACTATGACTCTATTAAAACCTACTCGTGCAATGTATAGATGTCATCCCATACTACCACCTACACTTCATAGAACCTCTCAAGAAACCATAATGCACATCTCACATGATGGGAATAAGCGTTTAACCGGCATAGACCATGAGAGTTTGTCATAGAAATTCGGTTTCATATAGCCCCACACTGTAAAAAGGTGTTCCACTTGCCTAAGGTAGAATGGTAGCATTAGCTCGGATGGAATCCGCTAGCTAATATCCTATGTGGGCATATAGTTATGGGATAGTAAGATGTTACTTGGAAATCTAACCTAACATTGGGAGAGTTTACATCTAACCATATCCACTCGGTGCTTAGCCTACATTCCCATAGATTATTTCATTCACATTACATTAGTGTACTAGGGAGGAATGCCATAGGCCTATCGACCCAAGTTACATCATTACACAAGGAAGGAATGCTATAAGCCTATCGATCCATGGTACATTCAAGGATAGCTCTAGAGTCCTCATGAAAAGAATGTCATAAGCCTATCGATTCATGGTTCCTCATTACATGCAAATACTCATGAAAGGAATGCCATAGCCTATCAATCCATGGTACATTGACTCACTAGGAAAATAATGCTATAAGCCTATCGATTCAAGAGTCTTCATTACATTAGATTATTAATGAAAAGAATGCCTTAAGCCTATCAATTCATATCCATCAAGTCAAGACACATTCATTACTCATATATGAAAGGAATGCCATAGCCTATTGATTCATATTCATCAAGTCAAGACACACTCATTATACAAGAAAAGGATGCATGAGCCTACCAATTCTAGATTCAACATTCACCATAGAAATCCTTCACATTCTAGCATCATCATTCATGAGTGTCAATTGAGAATATACTACCAACAATAACACAATACATTATATACACGATCATCATTCTATCATTGAAACCACATGCATATCCTTCACATCATAATCATACATAGTAATTAAACACCTCCACCTTTCAAGTGGATCAAAATCTCTAACACAATTCTACTACAACAAGCAATTAGGTCAAACTTGCCCTTTCAAGGCCATAACCACAAATCCTCAATTCACTAACAATTCACCATAATTAGGCATAGATGATGATACAATTCAATAACTCAAAGCAATTTAGACATATTCCAATCATAAGCTTTCATAATCAACAAACCCATTTCATAAAGGCACAATTTAGGTATTGAGAGAAATCATAGGTCCATGGAGTATTTTCATCATATATCATCAATTAAACATCAATACAATCATTATATGATATTAGAAACCATTTGAAATCGTTTGAAGAAAGAACACATGAGATTGAGTAAAACCCTAGGTTTTTCATGAACTTGAAAACTTTGAAAACTTTTTTGAAATTGACTCTAGGGTGAAAGTTAACCCTAGATGAAGGATCAACATACCTTCACTAAGATTCCCCAATAAATTTGATGAAGAAAGTCTTGAATCCAAACCCTAGCTCCCACTTCTTCTTCTTCCTTGAGTTAGAGAGAGGAATATTGAGAGAGGAAGAACTTTGGGGTTTTTGATTTGGGTGTTTTGTATAATAGGGTAAAATAGGTGTTAAAAGACTTAAAAAAATAAATTAAAAATAAAAATAAAAATAAATAAATATATGATATATATCTATTTAAAATGACCCCACAACATTACAACTTAAATAAGAAATTACTTAAAAACCCATAACTTAGGCAGCCCCGTCAGGGACCAAGTCCACTTCTACGGTCCTTGAAAGGGGACCACAGCCCGTGGTGGTGCCTGTGGTTCTCTAGGCAGTGACTCCCTTTCACTTGCCAAATTTCATGAGGCCAAGGCATCTTCACGGCCACTTCTACGGTCTGTGGTCAAGACCACTGGCCGTGAAATGGTCCGTGGACTTGAGGCAGCAGCTTGGCCTCAAGGCCTTGCCTCAACTCAAGGCCAAGTCTTCTTAACGGCTACTTCTATGGACCGTGGTCAAGACCACTGGCCGTGAAGTGATCCGTGGACTTGGGGCAGTGCTTGGCCAAGGTTGGGAAGCCTTGGCCTTTGTCTTAGGCCTTCCACCTTGGCTTGGCACATACCTTTGCAACCCTTAACCAACTTCAAAAGGTCTTCAAACTACGGAGTCTAACACGTACCTTGACATTGACCCTCACGATTAGGCTCTAGTTCATCCTACCATTTTCCGAGTCGTTACATTATCCTCCACTTAGGAACATTCGTCCTTGAATGACACTTTAAGGAAATAACGACTCAAGACTAGCAGCCCAACAATCATGACACATCAATACACATGCATAAAATCATAGGAGGAAATATCAACTCCATCAATAAACTCAATGCAATAAAAAGGAGTAGGAAATACATCTACCAACTCACTATGCATCAAACAACAACATTTCTCATTTCATAGGAGGAACTTCCTTCTTCAAATCACATCATGCTTGTCATAACATCATAAGGCAAATCATGCAATTTTTTTCTCTCAACAACACATTTAAGCATATACAACAGGTCAACTCATGAAGCATTTAGATAACTCATTATAGATGCATATTTAACATGAGGAATACAATCATGAAAACTCATTTTCTCAAATGAACATAAATTTCATCAAAACATGCATAACATAAGGAGACTATGGGAACTCTTTTTCACATAAGACTCCAAAACATGAAACAAGCTACAAGGAACTCTTGGTCTCAAGCTTGAATAGGAATAGAAGGAAAGAGATAAGGATATCAACACTCTCAACAACCTTACTATTCAACATACCATCCCCCACTTAGGAGAAAACCCAACTAAGGCTAACATGAACAACAACATAGGAACTTCAACAAGACACTCATGACTATAATGAACTATCACTTACCGGTACCTTCATCCGGATTAGCTCATTTGCCCTCATTGGCTTGAAGTACATAAAAACGATTCTTCTTTGGAGCATTAGGATCCGGGCCAACATAAGAAGCTTGTTTGGCCTCCCTTCTTCTAGCCATAAGAGTAGGACAATTTCTCACTTGGTGATCATGCTTTCCACAACCATAGCACCCACTAGTACCGGCTAGGCACTTCCCATGATGCCTCTTCCTACAAGTGGTGCAAAGAGGTTTAGAAAATAGAGGTACACCATTTTTCTCCTCATTAACCTTAGAAGCACTAGAAGAATCTTGGTTAGGAGCTCTCTTCTTGAACCTAGGTTGACCTCGCTCATCGGGCCTACCCCTTTTCAACTCCCTACCCTTTCTCTTAAGTTTGGACTCCTCAATAGATTGAGCATACACCGTAAGTCTAGAAATGTCCATGTCATTATGGAGCATCGTCGTACGTCACTCTTCCTCAACTAGGTCGGATATACCCGTCACAGACCTACTCATCTTATCCCTAGGGTTAGACACCAATGATGGAGCATACTTAGACAAGAGGGTAAATTTCAAGGAGTACTCTTCCACACTCATGCTTTCTTGCTTAAGATTGATAAACTCCTCAACCTCACACTCCCTCTTCTCCCGGGGAAACTACCTACCAAGGAATGCTCCCTTAAACCCCTCCAATTCTATAGGACCCACTTCTAAAGGCCTATTGCTTTTCCATTGAGTGAACCACACTTGGGCAACCTCTTTCAATTGATAGGAAGCCAACTCCGCTTTCTCCCTAGAAGTTACCCCCATAGAATTGACTATCTTATATACTTCATCCAAGAATTCTTGGGGATCCTCTCCCACTCTAGAATCAAGAAATATCGGAGGATTCATCCTCACAAAGTCTCTCAACCTTGAGGCCACGGTACTCTCATTAGCATTCACCTTAGGCCCCACATCTCGATTAGCTTGAGCCGTCATGGCTTGAGCTAGGGTTAGAAAATCCGTCCTAATCTCTTCATTGGTCATGGCTGGGGGATCCATCGGAACTTGATTTCCTTGATTGCCTAGAGGAACTTGGTCACCTTAAAGACCTTGGGGAGGAACTCCCTCATTCACAATCTCTTCTTCCATCCCTCTTGGGTTAGCCCTTGTATTCATATCCTATAAACACAAGAGAAAGGTTAGGAAAAGAACATCTATAAAGCCAAACTCTAAGGCACGACTTCAAGAATATGAAAAAAGTGTAACTTTCTAACGTCTTATAGCCTCTCTCTCATAGATGTGTCGTGACTCACACCGATAAACAAGACTCTACTAGACATGGCTCGTGAGACATCAACCCTGAAAACCATTTCCAAAATCTTGTGCTTTGATACCAAGTTTGTCACGACCCAAGTCTAGGCCCCGGATGTGACACGACGTACTTGACCCCGAAGGGGTCTCGTACACGCCTCTTAGCATTCATAACATTTGATATATAGAAAGAGTAAGGAATTTAAAACTTATTTAAATCCAACTATCAAAAACTTCATTCAAAAGCTTTCAAAAGATACAACGGAAGTCTAAGTCTCACATGACCATCTTAACAATGTACTTGAAACTAAAGTAACGATGCGGCCCTTTACAATCAAAGGAACTAGAATTGTCTATTACATGAAAAAAGAAATAAACTTCAAAAGACAATTGTCCTCGATCTATGAGGACGTACCACTCTAGCCTTGGAGGAATAGTAATCCAAGCACTTCAATCCTAGCTAGAATCAATCACTTGTCGGAACCTAAACTTGTAGTAAAATAAGAGAATTATGGGTTTGCACACAAAATTGTACTAAGTATGATGACCATGCAAAAACATGCTTTGAAAGGGACATTTTGGTTGGAAACCATGCATTATGCCACTTTTTAGAAATATCATGTACAATAGCATAAGAGAAACAATACAAGTATAATCATCATACAAGTCATAATACCACATTTAGACAATATCATCATGTAAACCATTATCTTTACCTTAAGTAACCCTCATGTTATACCTTATGCAATGCATGGATAGCGTCCCATACCACCATCCACACCAAGGCACCACATTAAGGTCACCAAAAGTGAACTTACCATTCCATCATTTTCACCTTTACACAATATCCATACATAAGAGACATAACATTTCATAAGACATGACAAGGGGAAATAACTCATAATGTAACCCAAGTATAGCATGCATCATCACATTAAGCATTTAAGAGTCAACATTCTTCAATTACTTCATTTAGAGGACCTTCATACATTAGTCATTAAGACTTAGAGAACTCACTATGACCCTATTGAAGCCTACTCGTGCAATGTATAGATGGCATCCCATACTACCACCTACACTTCATAGAACCTCTCAAGAAACCATAATGCACATCTTACATGATGGGAATAAGCGTTTAACCGACATAGACCATGAGAGCTTGTCATGGAAATTCGGTGTCATATAGCCCCACACCGTAAATAGGTGTTCCAATTGCCTAAAGTAGAACGGTAACATTAGCTAGGATGAAATACGCTAGCTAATATCATATGTGGGCATATAGTTATGGGATAGTAAGATGTTCCTTGGAACTCTAACCTACCATTGGGAGAGTTTCCATCTAACCATATCCACTCGGTGCTTAGCCTACATTCCCATAGATTATTTCATTCACATTACAATAGTGTACTAGGGAGGAATGCCATAGGCCTATCAACCCAAGTTACATCATTACACAAGGAAGGAATGCTATAAGCCTATCGATCCATGGTACATTCAAGGATAGCTCTAGAGTCCTCATGAAAAGAATGTCATAAGCCTATCGATTCATGGTTCCTCATTACCTGCAAATACTCGTGAAAGGAATGCCATAGCGTATCGATTCATGGTACATTGACTCACTAGGAAAAGAATGTTATAAGCCTATCGATTCAAGAGTCTTCATTACATTAGATCATTTATGAAAAGAATTCCTTAAGCCTATCAATTCATATACATCAAGTCAAAACACATTCATTACTCATTTATGAAAGGAATGTCATAGCCTATTGATTCATATTCATCAAGTCAAGACACACTCATTATACAATAAAATGATGCATGAGCCTACCAATTCTAGATTCAACATTCACCATAGAAATCCTTCACATTCTAGCATCATCATTCATGAGTGTCAATTGAGAATATACTACCAACAATAACACAATACATGATATACACGATCATCATTTTATCATTGAAACCACATGCATATCCTTCACATCATAATCATACATAGTAATTAAACACCTCCACCTTTCAAGTGGATCAACATCTCTAACACAATTCTACTACAACAAGCAATTAGGTCAAACTTGCCCTTTCAAGGCCATAACCACAAATCCTCAATTCACTAATAATTCACCATAATTAGGCATAGATGATGATGATGATACAATGCAATAACCCAAAGCAATTTAGACATATTCCAATCATAAGCTTTCATAATCAACAAACCCACTTCATAAAGGCACAATTTAGGAATTGAGAGAAATCATGGGTTCATAGAGTATTTTCATCATAAATCATCAATTAAACATCAATACAATCATTATATGACATTAGAAACCATTTGAAATTGTTTGAAGAAAGAACCCATGGGATTGAGTAAAACCCTAGGTTTTTCATGAACTTGAAAACTTTGAAAACTTCTTTGAAATTAACTCTAGGGTGAAAGCTAACCCTAGATGAAGGATCACCATACCTTTACTAAGATTCCCCAAGAAATTTGATGAAGAAATCCTTGAATCCAAACCCTAGCTCCCACTTCTTCTTCTTCCTTGAGTTAGAGAGAGAAATATTGAGAGGAAGAACTTTGGGTGTTTTGAATAATGGGGTAAAATAGGTGTTAAAAGACTTGAAACTATATATATCTAGTTAAAACGACCCCACAACATTACAACTTAAATAAGAAATTACTTTAAAATCCCTAACTTGGGCAGCCCCATCAAGGACCAAGTTCACTTCTATGGTCCGTGAAAGGGGCCCACGGCCCGTGGTGGTGCCCGTGGTCCTCTAGGCCATGACTCCCTTTCACTTGCCAAACTTCATGAGGCTAAGGCATCTTCACGGCCACTTCTGTGGACCATGGTCAAGACCACTAGCTGTGAAGTGGTATGTGGACTTGAGGCAGCAACTTAGCCTCAAGGCCTTGCCTCAACTCAAGGCCAATTGTCTTCTTCATGGCCACTTCTACGGACCGTGGTCAAGACCACTGGCCGTGAAGTGGTCCGTGGACTTGGGGCAGTGCTTGGCCAAGGTTGGGAAGCCTTGGCCTTTGGCTTAGGTCTTTCCCCCTTGGCTTGACACATGCTCTTGCAACCCTTAACCAACTTCAAAAGGTCTTTCAACTACGAAGTCTAACACGTACCTTGACGTTGACCTTCACGATTAGGCTCTAGTTCATCTTACCACTTTCCAAGTCGTTACACATTCGACCTGCAACTTTTATGATGCATATTTAGGTACTTGGATCCTCAACAAGAGTTTTGTTGAGATCACTTCATCCGCTCGTCAGCTTTGAGTGAGACTTCCTTACTTCTAGAGGACTTCATCTTTTATGAATTGTTAGTAGTATTTTTTTTATTGAGGTGTCGTGGGTCTTATCCTGACACTTGTCTTTATACAGTATAGACTTCATAGATAGACAGTTTTGGAGAGTCTTTCAGTTTCGACAGTTTTATTTGAAACTATGTTTTATACTTGATATATTCAGAGATATTTGAGATTCAGTAAACATTTTTTAAGCATTTCTTTCAATGATGTTTGTGTATGCTTGAGTTAGTCTTCTGCTTGTAGTCAACCATGATGAGGGTTCGCTTGGAGAACAACAATGGTTCTCGAGTGCTGGCCACGTCCAGAGTGTAGGCTCGGATCATGACAAATACTTTTTGTTTTCAATTTTCTCAAGTAAAATCTACTAAAAGGTGAAATGAAAGTTTTAAAAAATTATATTTAAAAATAAATATTTAAAACTAAAAAAAATAAATTGAAACTAAAGATGAGTCACAAGTGTCTACACTATTTATTTCATAACTAACATCGATTCTTTCCATGCTCGGTTCAAATATTTTAGGGGAATCTACAATTTTTTTAAACAAATGAATTGAAGTCAAACTTAATCGATGTAGAGAAGTGAATTTTTTTTCCCGCGTTTCCTTATTTAAGTCTACAGAAGACGGTTGGAAAACTTTTATCAATGAGTTGGATTTTCAAGAAGGAGATGTTTTAGATACTCCTCTGTCCCTAATTAATTACTTGTCCATTTTGACAAATCAAGAAAGGACAATTTTTTTTTTATCTATTATACCATTAATTAATTACTTTGAAAAAGGTAAAACTTTTTTAAAAACTTATTTTTTTAATTCATCCGCTTCATAATTAATAGGAGTAAAATGGTAAACTCACTATATAAATTATTGTTTTCTTAATAGGTGTGTCAATTTAAAAGTAGACAAGTAATTAGGGACATAGGGAGTATATTCTAAGCACAAAATAATATATAAAAATTGTTGTTGTTAATAATGACCTAGATTTACGCCCCCTTAGTGATGAGGGATATATTTTGTAAAAGGGTAATGCTAAATGGCCAGAAAATTTGATCAGAGTTTGACCAGAAATTTAAAAAATCTATAATATCTTTTTTATTTTAAAATAAACTGATCTTTTTTTCCATTTTTTAATTAAAAGGTATCAAAGTTAAAAGGGTAAAAATGTTCAAAAAGATAAAATAACATTGGTAAAATACCAATCAAATTCTGGTCAAATTTTCTGGCAAAAAAGATTTTTCCTTTTTAAAAAATATATTAATTAATGCTTTAATGAACAAGTCTCTATTATATACATGTATGGAGTATTTATAAATGCATGCCTAGGTGTGCATGTCTAGTGAGAATAACAAGAAAAAAAAAAATCGATATAGTAGGTGTTAGATTATAAATTTCAAAAAAAAATTAAATTTTATCTAAAATTTATTATCTTAAAATTGTAAA